TTATTGGACCACACATTGAACTGGGACTGGGGCTTTAGTAGAGACAATTTAGACGCTAGCCAGTCGTTTCATAACTTTTTTCCGCTTTATTTTTTGTCAGTTTTTTTACTTCCGGGCAAAGGATACACAACTGAAGCCGAGATTTTAGAAGAAAGATTTTGGCTTGTCAGAATTAGATAAAAATTTGAACCAGGAAGAAGTAAAAACAAAAATTACCCTCAATTTGAGCGAGAAAGAAAAATTAGAAGCATTTCAGAAAAAAACGATTGTAGTGTCAATCGTTACTGAACGTATTTTACCGATAGGTAAAACCGAGAATCAGAACTGCGTCGCTTCCTGGTGGTGCAGAAGGAGCTTCTTCAACGAAGATCGGCAGTCCTCAAAAGTCCCTCATTAAACTAGAGAAGTAGAAGAAGAAGAAAAGTAGAAGAAAAGTATTAAATTAACATCTGAAAATAACATCTTATATACTAAAAATAAGAAACTGTGACAAAACTGTGATGGAATGATGAAGTCAAGCGAGTTCACCAATGCCTTGGTCCTTCGGATCAGACTTAGATTTAATCCGGATAAAAAGGACCAAGGCACTGGTGAACTCGCTTGACTTCATCATTCCATCACAGTTTCATCACAATTTCTTATTTTTAGTATATCTGATGTTATTTTCAGATGTTAATTCAATACGTTTCTTCTACTTTTCTTCTTCTTTTTCTTCTTCTCTAGTTTAATGAGGGACTTTTCAGGACTGCCGATTTTCGTTGAAGAAGCTCCTTCTGCACCACCAGGAAGCGACGCAATTCTGATTCTCGGTTTTCCCTATCGGTAAAATAGGTTCAGTAACGATTGACACTACAATCGTTACTTTCTGAAATGCTTCTAATTTTTCGTTCTCGTGCAAATTGTGGGTAATTTTTGTTTTTACTTTTTCCTGGTTCAATTTTGCATCTAATTCTGACAAGCCAAAATCGTTCTTCTAAATTCGCGGTTTCAGTTGTGTAACATTTGCCCGGAAGTACATACCGACGGAAAATAAAGCGGAAAAAAGTTATGAAACGACTCGCTAGCGTCTAAATTGTTTCTACTAAAGCCCCAGTTCAATGTGTGGTTCGTTAATTTCGGGTTGACAAAGTCCTTACTATTTATGTCTGTGTAACATTTAAGTCTGTGTAACGACTGGCTGGCGTCTTAACCGTCTCTGCTAAAGCCGCAGTTCAATGTGTGGTCCATTAACATCGTTACCTAAGTCAATACTACTTACGTCTATTGGCGAGATGGCGCAAATTAATTTAGTTACATGCAAAGATAGTGAAATTTTTGGTTCAACCTTTCCGTCTAATTCTTCGCCTAACTCTGACAAGCCAAAATCGTTCTTCCATATTCGCATGTGTAACTTTCGCCCGGAAGTACTTGCGGAATGTAACACAACTGGGGCAGCTGTGTAACATTCACTCGGAAGTACATACCGACGGAAAATAAAGGTCTTTAAAGCAAAGGTCTTTTTTCCGTCGGTATGTTAACAAAGGTCTTTGTTTTGCGTCGGTATGTTAACCGTCTCTACTAAAGCCCCAGTTCAAAGCTTCGTACATTATCATCGGTTTGACATAGTCATTACTATATTACTATTTGAATCTATCGGCCAGAGCGAGCAAATTAACTCAGTTACATGCAAAGACAGTGAGCTCGTGGCTGGGTCTCAGTCTAGTAGTCCAGACCACAGGGCTACTACTTAATTATCAAATTTTTATTGTTTTTTTTCTGTAGATAAAAATCATCATTTCCATCGGAGATGAATCAACCCTTTCCCTCAACTCCTAGCTTGGCATATTCTGAAAAATGTATTAGATGTTAATTAAAATCAAGTCAGGGCATTTCCGGAAGCTGAAAGTTGTGTAAAAACCAGTTCCAGTCTTTTCTCAAGACCCTTCCGGATTCTTGAATCTGGTCGAAGAGCGGTCTTGCCGCGGTCTGGTAAGGGTAGCTAACTCTTCTCAATACCCCTCCGAATCCTCGGGAATCGCTCCGTAACGATTGTAGCTGCACAATCGTTACAACTCGGAATGTTCTTCCGTAATTGCCGTCAAGTATGATTCTGTCGTTTGCAATAATTTTTTGTCTGTCTTGCTTTTTCTTGCCAGAATCGATATTCTGATTTTTGCGGTTTCATTGTTCGGGAAAAATTAAAATTGTTACGTGTCATGAACGCCCAATACGAAACTTTAAAAATTGTTTCGTCACTCCAAATGGACTTCTCAGAATTCGTTCATTTGCACAATTAACACCGTTAAATCATCGCGACTGCCAATTTTCACACTCGGCTGCTATCAAAAAAATTTCTATGTCGTCATACACGTTGACCGCCATTCTGGTCAAATGTCCACGTTGTTAAATGTCGTATTTGTATCGTACGTTCATTTTTTTTCAATAAAAACAGACGGCATCGTCGAACGGCGTACATTTTTGCTAATTTTTCAGTATTAGTACTGGAATCTCAAAAAAAATGGGACCATCTGGCCTCGATGCAAATGATTGGAGACGTATTTTAACACACTTCGGGCAACAAGTAGTTGAGATTTCAAAATTATTTGCTAAAATTGCAAAAATATTGGACACCGAAGAACTATATCCAGAACTAATGGAACCATATAACGCATGTAGGCTAATACTCTTAGATAAGAATCCAGGAGTAAGACCCATTGGCATAGGAGAAGTTATGCGTAGGATAATAGAGCGAACAATAACCAAATGCCTAAAAAACGAACTCATGTCGCTCGGTTCGAACTATCAACTCTGTCTAGGAAAAAAATGTGGCATTGAATATGCGATCCACACGCTAAGAGATCAATAAAGCAAAACTTCCGCCGATGCTGTTTTACTGATAGATGCCGAAAACGCTTTCAACTTGCTGAACCGAAAGCTGGCATTGAAAAACATCAAAAATACCTGTCCTTCTCTTTTAACAGCGATTAAGAACTCCTACTCCAATCCATCTAAACTGTTCGTTAACAAAAAAAAAACCACCTACTCTCGAGAAGGGACGACCCAGGGCGATCCACTAGTAATGGCCATGTACGGTCTAGCCATAATACCCCTCATGAAACTTTTATCAGTAGACGATGCAATGCAGAATTAGTACGCAGACGACGGAAACGCAGTCGGTAAATTAAGCAATCTACCAACCGTCCTCGATAAAATTGTATCACTGGGTAAATTTTTCGGCTACCACGTGAAAGCATCCAAATGCCAACTCATTGTCAAGGATAAAAAACTCGGTGAAGCTCAGAAAACCTTCGCAAATACAGGAGACACGATAAAAGCAGGAGCCCGAGTGCTTGGTTCAGTTATAGGAACAGAATCTGAAAGTAAAAATTTCCTCGAGTTTTAACAGAATGAGCAAATCAAAGTTTTGAAAAAACTAATAAAAAAGTGCTAAAACCTCCCCCAAAACGTTTATACCTGCTGTACTAAAGGAGTTTAAAAAAAGCTTTCATTCCTTGCCAGGACAACGCCTAGCACTATGGAAAACTTGGAAATATAGGAAATTATTATCGAAGAACAATTATTACCTAACCTAGTCGGTAAAGACACTTTAAACCCCCAGTTCCGTGAGGTATCTTCCTTACCCCTTAAAATGGGCGGACTTATCATCAAGCTGCCATCCGATCTTGAAATCTATCTAGAATGGTCTAAGGAAACATCCCTAGTGCTGGAATCTCAAGATCCTGTTACAGCAGTAACACAGCAAGAACAAATCTGTACGAAAATCAAAAAATTGAAAACTGAATGAACAAATTGAAAAAAAAAAACAAACCTCATTAACTCCTCAAATGAAACAGATATATACGCACTCGATCTGGTCCCCGAAAAGGGAGCCTTTAACTGGCTCAATGCTTAACCACTGAGCAGATACAACTTCAACCTGAATAAATCAGAATTCAGAGATGGTATTTACTTAAGATACGGATGGGAACCGATCAAAATCCAACTCACATGTGCATGTTGTGCTATTTTTAACTTGACACATGCGCTTCACTGTGCAAAGGGTGGTTACACACGCATAAGAAACAATGAAATTAGAGACCCATTCGCCAACCTCATTAACGAGGTTTGCCATGACGTCGAGATTGAGCCGAAACCGAAACTTCAGCCGTTGCAAGGTGAAAGCTTTGTCAACAATTCAACTACAACTGAAGATGAGACACGACTCGACATTAAGGCAAACGAACTCTGGGGTTCACGATTCAGCCGCGCTTTCTTTGATGTGAAAATTTTCAACCCACATGCCAAAACATCGCGAAAACTGCATAAAGACGCATACATAAACCACGAATCGCTGAAGAACTCTAAATATCAGCAAAGATTTTTAAACGTAGAGCAGAGTAGCTTCTGCCCGCTAATTTTCGGATGAACCGGTGGCGCTGCTCCAACAGCCACGCGGACGATGCAGCGATTAGCCGAAAAATTAAGTGAAAAAAGACAAGAAAGCTATCCAGAATCTATAAACTACATAAGAACTAAAATATGATTCGCGCTCCTGAAGAGCTCTATACTTTGTATAGGGGGGTGCAGATCGCTACGCAAAGTTCAATTGATCGACAACTCCATAAGCGCTATTGTAGAGGAAAGACGGCTAAGATAATTTAACATTACGAGGATTTATTTAATGCTGATTTATGACTTTATTGCTGATATATATGCCTTTTTATAACGCTGGTATGGCCCTATCCAGCTTGTGCACGTACCGTAACTTAACGGAAGGGTCCCCTTTTGTAATTTAGTTTTTTGCTAAATTAGAATCTAGAACAAAACCCTAAATATTTGCATTCAGTTTTTTCTCCATAATGTTCATTGATAACAAGATGGTCTGATTCCATATTCTGTTTATAATTTTTTGATAAAAAGTTGAACCCTTCTTTTGGCAATCTTGTTCTTCGGCCTTCTGGAAAGCTCCCTTTATCAAGTTCATTTTGCCCCTGTGTTTGTAAGTTTCAAACATTTTTTTTTTCAGGGAGCAAAATGTAATCTCTGAAGTATCAGAGGGCATCAAAAAGGATCATCGAAATGTCATCCCGTGTTTATAATTTGCTTGAAATGGCAACAAATTTTGCTCTGCCCTCTGACGATGCGGCCAGCTTTCCATGGTTACAAGTTTTGTTGGATTTGAGCCACGTGATTCTCTGCTGCCTTCAAGTGCGGAATGAATGTCCTGATTTGGCCTATTCGAGAAGATATCCGGTGGCAACTTTGTTCGCTTGCACTATTACAAGTTTAGCTGGCAGCGTCATTGCTAATCTACTTCTTGGCTTGCCACTGATTGCAGACATTGCTCAGAATACTCACACGTTCTTGCTTATTTTGAGTTGCTGGTACTTGGTTTTCTATTCGCCGTTCGATATATGTTATAGAGTGTGTAATTCATACCTGGCTTTAAAGCTTCCTCTGTCTATCTTCAAAGAGCTAGGACGTGCAAGGAAGGTCAGCAAAGGAATCTCTCTGGCAAACTCAGTATACCCTGGAAGTATACCAATAATGATTCTAATTGGAACGGTGAAAGGTACTGGGTCGTCCTTCATGCGACCGTTCGTCCTCATGAGTCAGGGTTACTCGATCCATGAAGGTAATCTGGACACTTTGGCGAAGCCGTCTTTCACAACAAAAGCGACCTTCTTGGCTGCTTGTATTCTGGTAATTGCGTTTGGACGCGAGAATGGAATAGCCGGACTGGGGTACCCACAGATTGTCTTCATTATCAGCTTGCTCTTCGTTTACGCTAAGGTATCTCTCACTCTGCTGAAACTGGGCGATCCTCTGGTTCCGTTGGAAAACCTGTTGTGTATGATGTGCTTCGGAAGGGAGACTCTCTCGCTGAAAAAAGTGGACGAAGCAGAGCTTACTTCACAGCCGTCGCAGCGAATTTCACAAGCAGGAGGACCTGGCTTGTCACGTGCTTCTTCAACAATGCAATCTGGTCTTCATAGAACAAAAGCGGACTAACATTTAAATTCCTGGATGGCAAACACACACACACAAACTGCCTATCAATTGTTTGATTGGTGCATGCTTTCTATTAAAGTGCCTTCATTTTGCATAATAATTATGCTTAAAATTTATTCCCATTGCATAAGAATGTTCTTAGAGAAGATGTTCTGAGTTGGAAGTATGGTAAAGTTGTTTTAAAGTGCTGTCTATTTAACGCTAGGCTTCCTTTTGCCTCTGCAGCATATTTAGCCTAATTCATGGGTCCAGCACCAGTGCTTTTGTAAAGCTGGGCCAAAATAGTTTGTGATAATTGATGGTTTTGGAATGAGTGCTAGAGTGGAATAATTGAATTTTCTGACTAATTACATGCCATACTAAACTTTGTCTTCTCATACTTGGACCAGCAACTTACTGATTTTTTAGTTGCATTTAAGTGTTTGTAATTTGTTCAGAATTTAATTTATTTTTTAAAACCAAAAGAATGAATTGAATATTTATTAAAACTTCGCAATAGTGTTTAAAATTAACTAAAAGATTGCCAGCTTGAAAAGTGCTTTCAACGTGCTTAAAAAAATGTGCTTTCAAACAATACAAATGATAAATAATTTGGAACTATTCAAAATCCAATTACGACTAATCAGAAAATGGAACGGTAGCGCTATTGCGAAAAACTTATTTTTGAACACTTTGTATACTAATTTGTGATGATACATTTAAATTTTTTAATTTATGCTCCAACGTTTTTCAAACTTATTGTTTGAAGAAAGTAGCGAAATATTTATGCTCAGTGTGGTTTTTTCTACAGATAAACTTCAATTTTTAAACTGATAATTTTTGACTATTTTTAGTTTTGAACTAAAATTTTCTTATGACTAATTTTGATAACCATCTGAAAGATATCATTGCGCTGAGTTCAAAAAATTCAATTTTAATTTTGACCATTTTAAGAAAGATTAGTTTGAAAGCGGTCAATTTGGTGAATATTTAAGAGATCGTTTAAGCGAGCTTCCTTACTTTGTATTAATGCGTAAGCGGTGAATTTATCTCGCTCAGAAGGTATCTATTATGCATTTAAATGCGGGATTCACTATCTCGCCATGTTTAAGCTTTTTCAACGTATTATTTTTGCATGTTTAAGCTATATCGTATATTGCAATGGTTAAGAATTTTTTTTCGATTTTCCAATTTGATTTTAGTGGTTATTTTACCGAGTTTAAGTTAAGCAGGCCAATATCGAATTAGGGGTTGCGAATTTGGCCTCCAATTTTGAATGCCCGAATCATTTTAGTTAACGCGAGATAAGACGATTTTTGAGATTTTTTCAAAAATTTTCAGAAGTTTCAAATAACAAAATAGTTTACAAAACTTGAAGTTCCCAACCCTGTAGTTGGGCGCTGTCGCAGTACTCTAAGGAGTTACAAATCTTGCGTCCAAATACGACTGTTCAAATCCTTGTAGTTTTAGAGATATGACGTTTTTTGTGATTTTTTCAAAAAATTTTCAGAAAACTTATATTAATTTTTTTTCACAAAATCTGAAATTCCCAACCCTGTAGTTGGATCCTGTCAGAGTAATCTCAAAGATTGCGAATCTTGCCTCCAAATATGACTGCTCAGTTCTTTGTATTTTTCGAGATATGACGTTTTTTGTGATTTTTTCAAAATTTTTCTGAAAACTTAAATTATGATTAGTTTTTAAAAATCTGATATTCCCAACCCTGTAGTTAGGTCCTGTCGGAGTACTCTCAAAGATTTGATAATCTTGCCTCCAAGTATGATTGCTCAATTCTTTGTAGTTTTCGTGATATGACTTTTTTTGCGTTTTTTTTCAAAATTTTTCAGAAAACTTGAATTATTTTTTTTCTTCAAAAGTCTGAAATTCCCAACGCTGTAGTTAGGTCCTGTCAGAGTACTCTCAAAGATTGCAAATCTTACCTCCAAATGTGACTGCTCAATTCTTTGTAGTTTTCGAGATATGACGTTTTTTGTGATTTTTTCAAAATTTTTTCAGAAAACTTAAATTATTATTAGTTTTTGAAAATCTGAAATTCCCAACCCTGTAGTTAGGTCCTGTTGGAGTACTCGCAAAGATTGCGAATTTTGCCTCCAAATATCACTGCTCAATTCTTTGTAATTTTCGAGATGTGACGTTTTTTGTGATTTTTTCAAAATTTTCAGAAAGTTTAAATTAATTATTTTTCAAAATTTGAAATTCCCACCTCTATAGTTCGGTGTTGTCAGGGTACTCTAAAGAGTTGCAAATCTTGCCACATGCGACTGCTAAACGCGAATGCTCCAATGCTTTTAGTTTCCGAGATGTGACGTTTATCGATTTTTTCAAAATTTCTCAAAGAACTTATCTACAAAGAAATTCAAAAAATTTGAAACTACTAACTTGATGAAGATACAACCTTATTGTCAGCGTACACTCAGGCATCTCAAATCTTGCCTTTTAATATTTTAATATGAATGCTCAGATCCTTTTAGTTTCCGAGATAAGACGTTTTTTTTTTTCAATTTTTTTTTCGGGAATCTTAGGTTAAAAAATTCACAAAATTTTGGATTCCTAACCCTATAGTAGGGTGCTCTCAGTGGTTGCAAATCTGGCTTCCAAATTTCTCCAGAGGCCCATTAAGTTTTTGAGATGACGCTTTCAAAATGGGAATTTCAAAAAAATTTAAAAGTTAGAAATTACCAACCCTGTAATTGGGTGCAGTCAGAGTACACTAAAAGTTTGCAGATGTTGTTTCCAATATATTCGGTTTTTTTCATGAGTTGTCGAAAAATTTCGAAGCACCGAAGGTGCGTTAATTGCTAGTTTAAATTAAACTGAGGAAGGATTTTTGGCGCTATTCACCTACGAGTAGACGCAACACATACACTTTGTTCGTAACGTGTGGTGGGGGTTTCCGAAAAAAAGTCAGGAAAGAATTTTCTTTTTTAATAAAAACTTTTAGATAATCAATGCAATTAGTCGCTTTCAAATAATGCAAAGATTTGGCCAGGTAAGCAGTATTGTTTTTATCCTTCTTGAGCGTCGATAAAAGGCACTGTTACGCTCATAAGTTGTAATAATTATGTAGAAACATAGTTCAGGGTTAAATGGATTATGTAATCATCTTATTCATAATTTCATTGCTTTTATTAGCTGTATATCTCATTTTCCGGCAATTTGATATCATATTGGTAAGTTTTAATAATTAGCCTAAAGAAAAGAGTTGAGTGCTTCTGACAAAAGATTAGTTCGAAATATTTACTACTTAGTAGAGTAGTCGTGGTTTTCATTGAGTATACGTGGGAGTGCTGGTCTGGAATTCCCGCTTCGATACACTTTGAACATATTGTTAAGTGGGTTAAAAGGATAGGCGAGTGTCAAAGAATAACTCTAATATTCTGTGCCTGGAATCTAAACAGTTGGAAGGTATAGGCCACACACAGTTAGAAATATCAATTTAAACGGCGAACCAGAGTGGAAATCAAGGCAATTTGGAACAAATTTGAAACTAGTCGCCCTGGGTTCTGTTTAGAATTTTCATGTTTTGCTGTTTTTGTGAACCTGCATGCATGTATTTCCACGTGTTTTTGATCGGATTGTATTTTCTGTTTTTGTTTCGACTTGCAGAAAGGATGTAACATTTGTGCTCAGTTTGGTTTTTTCGCCAGACAAATTTCGACTTGCAGAAAGGATGGAACATTTGTGCTCAGTTTGGTTTCTTCGCCAGACAAATTTCGTCTTTTAGCTAGATATCTTCGATAACATCTAAGAGCTATTGATGTCCTAAGCTCTAATTTTTAATGAAAATGAACTACAACCTTTTTTTTGGAAACAATTAAGTTGGTTCAAAAATTGTCAGTTCGCCTAATCTATTTATGTATACTTTATCTAATTGTCATTTCACTAGACAAATGTTTAAGAAGTTTTTATGTTGCCAATATTTTGCTACGTTGAATATGTTTTTATTGAATCATAGTTATAAATTACCGAAATCATCCATTAGTTGAACTATACATATGTTGAAGCGCGAATGCTTTAACTAGTTTTTTCCGTATTTGGCAACGCAGAATTTTTAAGATTTTTGTATCAGTGTTTATTTGACAAAATTGAAGTTATCAGCCCATTAGTGGTGTGCTATTAGGGTGCACTCAGAGGTTGAAAATCTGGCCTCCAAATATTAATGCTCAAATCCCAGATATGGCATTTATATATATTTTTTTTCAGATTCTCAACCCTGTGGCGGAGTGATCTGATTTCTCAATATAATGTCACAAATGTTTTCAATTTTTTTCTCAAAAAACGTAGATTTAAAAACGTCTGCGTTGTTTTGGATTTTTTTTTAAATAGCAACCCTATGGAGGGGTGCTTTCAGTGGAAAGTCAGGGGTTGCCATTCCGCGCTCTTATTATAGTTGCTCAAATCCCTTTTTGTTTTTGAGATAAAGCTTTTTTCATTATTTTTTTCTAAATTAGATTTAAAAAAACTGAAAATTTGAAAATTTCATCTTTGATTGGATAATATCAGATAAAACCCAGGGTTTGAAAATCTGTTCTCCAAATTTTTCTAATCAAATTTTTTAAGTTTTCGAGACATGGTGTTTTCAATGAAATTTTCGAAATTTTAGATTTAAAGAACTAACAACGCAAAACTCCCAACACTCGCGGAGTGCACTCAATTTAATTCATGTGGTTTAACGGGTTGAATTTCTATTGTCTAATTATGACTGCTCAAATCCTTTTGTTTTTGATACATGTCATTTTTATAGTTGCTTCAATTTTCAAAAAACTTAGATTTGAAAAAAACTACTTTAATTTCTCTACCCTATGATGGGGTGCTTTCAAGGTACCTTCAGGGATTGCAAATGTGACCTCCAATTATGACATCAAAACTTTTTAAGCGGCGAGATTTGGCGTAATTAATGCTTTTTCATTCTTTGTCTTCAAAAAATATAGATTTGAACAACTTATAAATGTTGAAATTTTCAACCACGTATTGTGGTGCTGTAAGAAACTCCTAGAGATTGCAAGTTAAGCTTCTAATTGAAATTCTCAATTTTAGTGTCCGAGATATGATATTTTCAGTTATATTCTCAATTTTTTAGCAATTAAAGTTTTTGTGTAAAGAGTATGTGTACAAGATATGGAAGGAGTCTGTTTGCTAGGGTCCTTTTTTGAGTTATAAGCTTCACAAATCTGATAAAACTAGTATTTTTGGATATATGACTAATTGACTGAAAAATAAACTTCAAAATTTGTTCAGTTAATGAAATAGAAAACCCTTATAGTTATGTCCAATTTAAAATTGCGGTTGCTTTAATGTTGTTGTTTCGTGAAAATTTTTGGAAGCAGTTTTCACGTTCAACAATCTGTTTGAAGCACTTTGGGTTCAAGCGCTAGTTACTGATAATAAGGCGCGATTTTGTTTTGTCATGTTGAAATTAATCTGCCACTTAAATCAGTCCAAATTGAAGTCTTGTCTCATTAATACATTACCAGACGCAAAATATATAATATAACATCGATGGGGGGGCAATCTGAAGAAGTAAAAGTTTTTGTTTGGAACATTTTTGTTATTTTTTATCAAAAGATGTTTTGA